CTCCTCCTCCTCCCCTCCTCCTCCTGCTCTGCTCCTCCTCCTGCTTCTTCTCCTCTCCTCCTCCTCCTCTCTCCTTCTCCTCCTCTCCTCCATCCTCCGCCTCCTCCTCATCCCCCTCCTCCTCCTCCTCCTCCTCCTCCTCCTCCTCCTCCTCCTCCTCCTCACCGTAGCCATTTTGGCTCAAGGTTTTGGTTCCCCCTGGGAACGAAGTGGATACCGCTAGTCCGCGGCCAGCTTTCAACTTTCGCCTGGTTCGCCCCAGGCTGAGCGGTGCGTGGTCCGCCCCACGCATCGCAGCTTTCACCACGACTAGGCTGTGCGCTGGTCGGTGGACAGTCCATAGTGCCTCTCCCTTGGCATGGCGTGGGGCAAGGCAAAAGGCGGAGGCAAGGGCTTGTCGTACAGCGATGTCTGGCCTCCTCTGGTGCCTGGTCCTCTGTTCTGCAAGGGCGGCGGCGGTGTGCAAGATCAGACAGACAACCAGCTGCCTGGTAAGAAGTGGAAGTGCCAGGCTTGTGGTTGCTCCAAGAATGCCGCTAGGTTCTATTATTGCAAACATTGTGGAGCCTATAAGCAAGTCCCAACTTCGGCATGGTCTGGTGATGCAGCGCGTCAGTTGTTCGGTTACGGGCAGCTCAACGGTGGCGCGGTGTGGGGCAAGGGTCCAAGCGGTGGCGAAGCAGGGCAGCAACAGAAAAGTGCTGGAGGTGGCTACCCCAAGGGAGGCGGCCAGCAATCCGCTCCTGCTGGTGCTGCTGCTGCGAAGTTCACTGCCGAGGAGTACGAGACCATGGCAGGTTTCGCTGGACGTATGGGAGACGCTGCAGGCGCAGCAGCTCATCGTCGTGCAGCCAAGGCCCTCACCGCGCCAAAGCAGGCAGAAGAAGCTATTCAAGTTCGTCTCAATCGTGCTCACTGGAAAGTGCATGGGATCAACAAGCGTCTGGAGTCGGCAGTTGAGAAGTACGAACAGTACGAAGCTCAGCTCAACAACCAGAAGACGGTGGTGCTGGAGCTGCGCGCGGAGCTCACCAATGCAGAAGGCGAGCATTCGACTCTCTTGCAGGATTTGGTTGAGTCTCAAGAGGCAGCTAAGCAGCCACCCACGGCCACGGTCAAGCTTGCGCTGGAAGACATCATGGATCAGGAGCGTCTCGCGAAGGTCTTTGACATCAGCGTGTCGGACCTGTTCAAGTGCGACGGTGTGGAGCTTGATGAGTCGGACAACATCGAGATCGAGTCACGTGTGCAACAGCTCAAGGCAGGGCTCACGGCGATGGCGGGCACCCTCTTCGCCGAGGCCAAGCAGAAGGCCGACGGCCTCAAGTCCGCCCACGCGCTGCGCATCAAGAGGCTTGCGGCTAAGCGGCCTCGAGTGGTGGAACAGGAAGCGGCCTTCGAGGAACCTCCTGATAAAGGTGCACACGCTGAAGGAGATGAGGGCGCTGGAGCAGTTCCAGGCGGTGGTGGCGCAGCAGCGTCAGGCGCAGCGGGCGCTACGGCAGCGGCTCCGTCCACGCCTTCTACGACAGGCACGGCTCGTGAGCGCGCTGACCGCATTGCCGCGGCCACGCACACTGTCAACGATTAGCTACCCCCTGGAGGCTAGCCCTGATGCTCGTCGCCTCCTCGAGTCGTCGTTCGATTGGGGTCCGCAGGTCCTTCGCTCGGAAGGCTGCCTCCAGGGGGGGGGGTTGAAGCAGGTTTTTTACCTCTGCACACGGAGTTTCGCTCAGCAGCGCAAGATGCCCTCATCCGCAAGAGGGGTATGTTTCGACGCAAGGCTGATCGGACCACTGTCTCTGCCTCTGTGTCTTTGCTGGACTTCGCGAGGCCAAGGGTTTTGTATCCTGTTCACTCCCTTGGTAAGTCTGTGCGCAAGGATGCCGCGGACGGGGCTATCCCGCACGTGGCCACTTCTGTTTGCCCCCCCATGGAGGGGGGATCTCGTCCCCGCGTTGAGCTCGTCGCTCTCGGAGATTTTAAGTCAGGACGCTCCAAGGGCAAATTCGAACCCTTGGATTTTCAGAGGCCTCAGCACCCCTCTGACTGTTTCAATTCGACATCGCATTCGGTCAGCAATGTCACCCTGCCTGTGCCTGCTCCTCTCGTCGGCAGCGAGCAGCCATCGGCCTCTAACTCTGACAGTATGGTGCCACTCACGATTCAGACCATTAACGCCAACTCGTGGGGCACGTTGAAGGGTTTGCTCGGAGCCTGTTCTGCCCACATTGCGCTCGGTCAGGAGCACCGTCTGATTTCCAAGGAGGACATCGAGCAGGCCAGTGCTTGGTGCATAAGGCATGGATGGAAGTCGGTTTGGGCCCCTGCTATCCCCACCCAAGCGCAGGACACGAGTGGAGGTGTTGCCATTTTCGTGCGCTCCTGGATGGGGCTTCTGGAAGTCGAGGGTGCCATCACGACGCCTGGGCGATGCATCGCGTGCTCTGCGCACCTCCCTGGGGCTCCCCCCATCCTGGTTGCCTCTGCTTACCTTCACCACTCAGAAGGCCTCAGCGATGATAATCTGTCTCTGCTCGCGAGACTCGGGGAGCAACTTTCGGCTGTTGGCCAGCCGTGGGTGCTCGGCGCCGACTTTAATCTGGAACCTGCTGAGCTCGAGTCTTCCAGTTTTGTGTCTGAGTTGAGGGCTTCCCTCATCTTCCCCATTGTCGCGACGCACTATCCTGTGGGCCCTCCCACGACGTTCGACTACTTCGTTTGTTCGGGCGGTCTGGCGAAGGGTCTCAAGTCGGTCGACACGAGATTGGATACGGAGCTCTCCCCCCACAGGCCCGTCCAGTTGGTGTTCCACCCCCAGCTGGCGGTGCTTCGCGCTCTCTCGTTCAGGAAGCCTCCCTGCCTGCCGTGTCAGGTGGTGTTTGGCCCTGCCCCCAGAGAAAATTGTTGGGCTGGGGAACTTGCGCTGGCGTCCGAGGCTGAACGGTGTCTTCAGAATGGAGACGGTCAGGGGGCCAAACGTCTTCTGGGCCCTCTTTACAGGAAGTGGGCCGACCACGCTGAACGTGACCTCATTCCTCTGGTGGGTTTTGCCCCCCCCAAACTTGGCCCCAGGGGCCTGGGCCCTCAACTTGTGTGGAAACCTATCTTGGGCCAGGATGGTAAGGTGCGTTACCCTGGTCACCGCGCGATCCGTTGGCTCGGGCAACAGCTTCGCGCCTTCATGCACGCCCGGCGCGGAGGCGCTGCTGCCACTGCTGCCAGGTTTAGTTGCGTGTTGGTGGAGCCCCCGCCCAGCATCACGGCCGCGGTGGAAGACTACGAGCCGCTGTTCAAGCGTGCGGCTCAGGAGGTCTCCGCCCTTGGCTCTGGTGGGGATGTGGAGTCGCTCGCTGATTTGCACACTCAGGTTCACGAGGCCGTCAAGGCCGCCAGCTCCAAGTACGCCGCCAGGAGTCGATCAGACTGGGCTGCTTGGCTGCATGTTGGCATCAATCAAG